TTTATACGTTAAGAGAAAAAATAGGTTTAAAACAAAAAACAAAATAAACCAACCTTTTTTAATGTAAATAATCTTAGATAATAGTTTTATAGAAAACATAACCACTAATTCGTCGGTGGGTCTCTGATCGCTTTTCATAAAGATATCATATTTTAGAGCCTGATTTCTGGGAACTACGATCGTTTTTTTGAAATGTTCGAATTCGAATTATTGTTGTATTTAAAATTTCCTATAGGTTGACATGCTTATCTCAGTTTAACTTCAAAAGTGACTTTCATCGTTATTACCGGGTACCCTTTATTTGTTAATGTTATTTTTAGTTATAAAACGTGTCAAATGTTATTTTTAGTTGTAAAACCTATTTTTTTTTGCAATAAAACTGTTTTTGAATCTTCTTATAAAGTTTAATTTTTTTATTATATTAACACCTTTGTACACGGTGTTCTTATGTCATCGCTTTGCATATTTTGTAAACAAGCTTACCGTCAAGTATTTTGAAATTAAAAAAAACCTGAATAGTACTGTAGGTACTATTAGAACAGGAGTTGAAAACCCAACCTAAAGATACCTTTTTATTTGTAAGTATATTTCCAGAACTGATCACAACCAAGTAAAATAATTTTGTAGTTTTAATACGCCTCCAAATGCCCCCATAAAGAAAACAGAGTGAAGGTTTGCGCTCCTTGTGGTACAAAAATCATTTTTGGAAAGAAAAAAGCAGCAGACTATTGTATAACTGAAAAATGTGAATCATTAATAAAACGTTTTATGAATTCTGATTTTAAAGCATCTGATTTAAAATGTCCATCGAGCATTTGTACATGTCGTTTGATCCTTTTTGAGCACGAAAAGCAACAAACCCGAAAACCTTTACCGAAAATGCCCAATTACACAGATATAATTTTACCAGCAACAACACGCTTAAATAAAAGTGACCAATGTAATTGGTTTAACTGGAAGATCCACCATACATCCTAAAACTCAGAAAGGCCGAGGTCATTCTAAAGATATATCTATAAATATCGAGAAATCGAATGGACTTTATGGCAGCTCAAGCAACACACATATTCTAAGAGCAACTGAATATGAAGAAGACAAAAAAACTTTAAAAACTTCATTAACTTTATGTAATGCTTGTTATCAAGAAGTGGGCAAAGGTAAAATACATTCTTGTGGAACTCTAGTAACGGCTCGTAAAAATGTTATGAAAATAGTTGAAAATCTTCCGGCAATACAACAAGAGCAAACCTTTTTATTTGTAAGTATATTTCCAGAACTGATCACAACCAAGTAAAATAATTTTGTAGTTTTAATACGCCTCCAAATGCCCCCATAAAGAAAACAGAGTGAAGGTTTGCGCTCCTTGTGGTACAAAAATCATTTTTGGAAAGAAAAAAGCAGCAGACTATTGTATAACTGAAAAATGTGAATCATTAATAAAACGTTTTATGAATTCTGATTTTAAAGCATCTGATTTAAAATGTCCATCGAGCATTTGTACATGTCGTTTGATCCTTTTTGAGCACGAAAAGCAACAAACCCGAAAACCTTTACCGAAAATGCCCAATTACACAGATATAATTTTACCAGCAACAACACGCTTAAATAAAAGTGACCAATGTAATTGGTTTAACTGGAAGATCCACCATACATCCTAAAACTCAGAAAGGCCGAGGTCATTCTAAAGATATATCTATAAATATCGAGAAATCGAATGGACTTTATGGCAGCTCAAGCAACACACATATTCTAAGAGCAACTGAATATGAAGAAGACAAAAAAACTTTAAAAACTTCATTAACTTTATGTAATGCTTGTTATCAAGAAGTGGGCAAAGGTAAAATACATTCTTGTGGAACTCTAGTAACGGCTCGTAAAAATGTTATGAAAATAGTTGAAAATCTTCCGGCAATACAACAAGAGCAAATTGCAACTTAGATTACCAAAAATGTTGGTCCTTTAGCACTCGTTCCATTTGTGTCGGCCTTTAAGGCTATGGACAAAATTGTCCAGGCATCTTTTTCGACTGAAAAACTGTATGAAAATAAATTAGAAAAATATATTAATGACCTAAACACTGCTTTTAAAGCTACCGGAGTATCCCAAACTTTGAAAATTCATGTTCTTCTTAGTAATCTAAGAGAAAGTTTAAGTATTTTGGAAGATGGGTTAGGTTTGTGGTCGGGCAATCTGGAGAGTCAGCTCACAGAGAATTTTTAAAACACTGGGAAAAGTACAAAGTAAATTCCTTTGCGCATAAGTCTTACTTATCAAGGTTAAAAATGGCAGTTCGCGACCTAAGAATTAGATTGTTCTATCTCCCAAAATTTAAAGAGGAACAAATAGCAGTTTAAAGTTTAATTTATATGCAAATGAAATTTTAAAAAGCTTTTTTTCCGTGTCAGATTTTTGAAAGAAAGAAACTCCCAAAACCTAAACACGGAAAAACAGCTTTTTAAAATTTCATTTGCATATAAATTAAACTTTAAACTGCTATTTGTTCCTCTTTAAATTTTGGGAGATAGAACAATCTAATTCTCAGGTCGCGAGTTGTGGAATTTTCTTCACGCCATCTCTAAAATTTTGTAATTTTTGGTAAAATTTCAAATTATTTTTGTTTATTTTCTTTGTCGCATAGTTAAAAATAAATTTATTTCGTATTTTTCTTTTTTTTTATTCGTATTTTTATGGATTTTTTTATTTTTAATGTAGTAGACATATGTATCTAAGTCCAGTTGCAACTGGGTTTAAAAAAAACGCACACACATTAACCGCGAAGAGTACAAAAACGCATTATAGCATTATAGCTTGCCTGAGGGAACGCGATAGGATGTTCAAACTGTTAAAATCCGAAAAAATTAAATAACTGAAAACTAGAAAAAAAGCAGAACAAAACCCTTTGAACAGATTTTTTCGTGATTTTTGTTATACTTATCGCGCCTTTAAGAACACCTTGTGTAGAGGGCACAAAAATTTAAAAAATAAAAATAATAAAATATACGAGTTTTTTCTTTTTACTAGACGCATCTTTTCCCTCCTATTGGATTTTTAAATTTAAAAAAACAAAAACACCTATATAGAAACGGCCCACCCTATATATATTATATATATATATATATATATATATTAGGGTGTGCCAAAAAATCTCGATATTTTTTTTTCTTGCTCTCCACCCAAAATATCGTAGAATATGTCCGAACAAATATTCTGTTAAAAGCGGAGCTCATAATTTCAATTTTAAGAGGTCCCTCATCGAATCTGAAGTTTTGCCGCTTAAATAACACAGAAAACTGACTTTTTTACCTTATTTATTCTTGCAACCTAGGAAGATTTTTTTTTTTCGTAAAATCCATGACTAATTCTTACAAAGCATTAAATTTGGACAAAAAAATCTTATTAAGCCGAATTTCTATTTTCATTATTTAATTTTTTACATAGCTTTAAATTTAAAGATAATAATACAAAAATGATGACTTTATACGCCTGTAACTTTTAGAATATTGACGATATAAAAAATTCGCCTAAAACTTTTTTGTGGTCCATCAGACAAGCTAAAAAATTACCATTTGACTTTTTCGTCTAACTTCAATAGTTTAGCTGAAAAAGGCAAAAAACGTAAAATTTTAAATTTAAAGCTCTGTAAAAAATTAAATAATGAAAATAGAAATTCGGCTTAATAAGATTTTTTCGTCCAAGTTTAATGCTTTGTAAGATTTGGTCATGGATTTTATGAAAAAAAAAATTCTTCCTAGGTTGCAAGAATAAATAAGGTAAAAAGGTCAGTTTTCTGTGCTATTTAAGCGGCAAAACTTCAGATTCGATGAGGGACCTCTTAAAATTGAAATTATGAGCTCCGCTTTTAACAGAATATTTGTTCGGACATATTCTACGATATTTTGGGTGGAGAGCAAGAAAAAAACTATTTCGAGTTTTTTTGGCACACCCTAATATATATATATATATATATATATATAAAAAAAATCCCGTTTTATTAAAATTGAAAGACAACAAATGAATTGAGGCAATCCTCAATATTAATATTAAGGGCTCAAATAGGCGCCAACATTTTTGTTTTTTAATGTACTATTAATTTTTCAACACCATTAGGAAAAATAATAATTGTTTTTTTTAAGCACCCTAATATATATACTTATATATTTAATAAATTCAATTCTCTACAAAAATATTTTAAATGAGTCGGGTAGACTCGCCAAAAAAGTAAAAAACCTAAAATTTCGTATAATTTGAACTTTGACCTTAAATTTCTTTAGAAGGATCAAATTTATCAAAAAATCATAAAAAACCTTTTTTGTAGAGCGTTCAATTCTCTACAAAATATGTCAAGAACTTGACAGTACGACCTATTGTTTGTTAGTTAGAGAGAGCTCATTTTTTCACAGGCTCATTTTTATATCTATACAAAACTTTTGAGCGTGGTTCCGAGAAAAAAAACAAAAAAAAAGGTTTTTTTGAATCACCTTAATATATAATATATAATTTATAAACATATCTCCATCTCCATCTCGTAACATCTCGAATGTTATCTGGGATTGGTTAACATATTATAATATACAACAAAATTATTATTTTAAGTACAGTCAATAAAAATCTTAAAAATCCAAAGGCAATTGGCTAAGACAATAAAAAATCAGTTGGTAGGTAATTATAATTATAATATTATAAATATACAGTGCGAAAGAACCTGTAATAATCAAACTTATGGGTTTATACATACTCAAGTTATATTGTATATTTAAATTTACATTGCATCTAAAACCGGTGGCATTTTAAGGCAGTGCTAATGGAACACTCCAGAGAAATTAATTTCAAACAACTTGTTTTACATTATAATGCAAAATAAGACACTGCCATAATGTACAACATATTTTAAAACATTTTTTGATAATATATTTTATAATATAAAATTCTATTGGTAATATTAGTGGGACGCTGATGTTATAACTTTTTTTATTGCGAAATGTAATTATATTTGCACTTACTTTGTTCCCAAACTCCGGCATTTTCTGTGTCCTGGAATAAATTTGTTGCCTGCTGAGACGGCCTGCAATCGAAGTGAACCGCATTGTTTCGCAGGTGATAAGTTAAGCGAAGCTATTGTCACAGCGTCAGCAATGATTGACTCTTTGGAGCTGCAGATCGAGAAGCTTGGCGGTGGAGTGGGTGGTTCAAGTTTAATAGAAAGTCTAAAATTTGAGTTTAATTTTGTTTTTAAATGATTTATACATTAATATAAACGTACTTGTACTGGTCGTCTTCTACAAATTTTTGTAGTTCTTCGATATACCTAATTGAATTTAAATAGTCCTGTATGTGTGGAATCACTAATAAGTGTGAGTAGTCAGAGTGTTGGTAGTTTGAGATTATTCTAAGGATATTGTTCATTTTTAAGGTACGTGGTTGAGATTCTAGTCCACCCAGGTGTGGATGAGCCATGTCAATGTAAACTAAATCAGTCAAATATAATCCTAAAACAAGTTTTTATGTTTAAAAACGTAATTTAACATAAAGGAACTTTTTAGTATGTTGATAAGTAAAAAGTATAATTTTATGTTGGGTAGTGTAATTAATTATTAAGAACTCTGTAATATTAATTTGTAACAAACTTATTATCAGGCACAAAACAATAAATAAGGAATTTACAACAGTAAATCAATCAATGGCTTAGTGGCAATAATACAACATTTATTTACGTTTTTAATTTATAACAAAAAAGTAATGTAACCAATGGGCATTGTCACAAAAAAAATGTGTGACGTACTATAAACTGTACCAAAACACAGTACGACAAAATTTGATTTTTGGTCCCTCCCATGAAAAATTTCTAGATTCTAAAAATAGAGTTAAAAAAATGATACCCGTGTCTCGGCGTTTTTTCACAGCACGTCATAATTTTTTTAAGGGCTATCCAATAAAATGTTATATATTCACACTATTCGCGACATAATTTAATAGACTCGATAACAGCTGGACTGCATAGTTAAAAATATATATATTTACTAAATGGATAGGCAACCATTATAGATGCATTTTAAAATTATTTTAATCTTATACAGAGTTTTGCACATTTAAGAAATATATCAAACGGTTTATTTTTAAACCAAGTAACAAAATGTTTCAATTTTAAGCCAATCAAAATGCTTTAAAGTCGGGTGATTAAAATTTTTATTTATTCAATTTTTTGTAAAAATTGAGCTTTGTTGAATTAACATTTTTAATACTAAAAATTAAAAGATATTTAAATGAATTGATTTAAGTCTTAAAGCAAGTGTACCTAAAGTAGGGTTAAGTGGAAGAAGCAGGGATAAAAGTAAAAGACCTTTAACACCCAGTACTACCATTTTTTCCGAGATGGAATCTGAATTTATTCCCTGTAGTTCGGGTTATAAAGTACATTTTATAACCCAGGCTGATTTCAATGATCTTGTTCGTGATGCCAATTTATCAAGAACTACAGCGGAATTGGTTGCATCACGGCTCCGACAATGGAATTTAGTTGCCGATGACTTTAAAATAACGGCAAACCGAAAACGAAATATTTGCATGTCGTTTGACAAATATTTTGCTTCACATGAGGATTCTGAAAAGAACCTGGCTTATTGTGCAGACGTCGATGCATTATTCGAAGAAATTGGTCATCCTCATATTTCAGAAGAATGTCGACTCTTCATTGATTCCTCTGTGAATAGCTTAAAAGTAGTTTTACTTCATATTGGAAACAAGTATCTATCTGTTCCAATCTCATATTTCAGAAGAATGTCGACTCTTCATTGATTCCTCTGTGAATAGCTTAAAAGTAGTTTTACTTCATATTGGAAACAAGTATCTATCTGTTCCAATCGCCTATGCCACAAATATGCCTGAAAATTATGACAATATAAAGCTAATTCTAGAGCTGATACACTACAATCAGCACGAATGGAAAATCTGAAAGTTGTGGGATTGCTGACTGGTTTAAAAAAAGGATATTGTAAACACCAATGTTTCTTGTGCACTTGGGAAGGCCGTAAGACCGAGCTGCAATATACTGATTTTACATGGGAGCCACGCATTAACTGTCAATTAGGTCAGTTAAGCATTGAAAACTTACCGTTGGTGGATGCAAGGAAAGTAATCTTTCCACCACTTCACATTAATCTTGGCCTGATTCGCAATTTTGTTCGAGCACTGGATTCGTCCGGTGAAGCTTTTAAATTTTTAAATATAATTTTTCCAAAATTGTCTACAGAAAAAATTAAAGCAGGTATACCTGCTTAAATTTTTGTATATGTATACATTTCAATATAATTTTAGGTTTATTTTTTAGTAACAACATTGTATGTTTCAGGTATATTTACTGGTCCAGATATATATATCAAAATAAATAAAAAATAATGAATTTTATAATTTAATGAGCATGATAGAAAAAAGGGCGTGGAATGGTTTCGTTGCAGTGGTCGATAATTTTTTGGGAAACAAAAAAGCAGACAACTACAAAGAAATTGTTGCAGTAATGATTTCTGCCTTTCAGGACATGAAAGTACATGTCACTGAAAATACATTTTTTCCATGCTCATTTGGGCTATTTTCCACCAAATTTGGGCGATTTTAGTGACGAACATGGCGAACGTTTTCACCAAGACATTTTAACAATTGAAAAACGCTTCAAGGGAAAAGACGTCAGGCATTTGCTGGGTGAATATTGCTGGTCAATTGTTCGAGATTCTGAAGCAATATATAATCGTCAAACTAAACGACCAAGATTTTATTCCAACATGTATTGAATATAAGATAAAATAAATAAATGTGTTTCATTAAAAAAAAAATAAAAAAAAAATTATTTAAAAAAATCAAAATATAAACTTTTTTTATATTTTTTTTGTATTGTGTAAAAACATACAATATTTACAAAAAAATTTTTTAATTTTTAACCGAATAAAAAATGTGCAATCTGTATAAGCATAAATAATATGAATGACCGCTTAAAATTTTTTTATGACGTGATCTCGTGAAACTGTGAGACACGGGTACGTTTTTTTTACCTCTATTTTCAAAATCTGCTAAAATTTTTCATGGGATGGAAATCGTGTTGTACTGTGAAATACTAAAAAAAATTCAATATGTGTTATTGCCATCCAAATAATACTAATACTTTTAATATAATATATATATAATAATATTTTTCATATAATATGATCATATAATATAAAATATATTAAAATAAATATATATACAATATAATATATTATACAATATTATTCTTATATATAATTTGATTTTTAGGTTGCTGTAATAACTGTTTTAACCAATGGCTTTGATATGAGTTTGTGTGCAAACAATTTCGTTTCAAAGCCTAAAGGAAATATGATTTAAAATGTTGGTGTTATTTTATAACATATTTTTTTTATAAATAGGTAATTTAAATGCGGACGTTAATAAAAAAATTTAACATAAAATATACTTGAAGCAGCAGTAAAAAATAAAGTTCTAAAAATAAAACATAAACATTTTATTACTTCTTTATCATCTACAGAAAATATTCTAGAGGTTTTTTCCAGTTTCTCAAAATTGATGTAAGTGGGAGAATGTGACTTTTGTAACTACTACTCATTTGTAAACTTACCCAAATATGGTATACAAGGTAATCTTAAGCTTTCGATGTGACTTCTAAGATTCTTCCAGTTATTTGCATCAGAAAATACCTCTGCCAATCTATCAAAGGTTTGTTTTTCCTTTTTTGCCAAACCACCCCATGTTTTCGCTAATCTAGTAAAATAAATGGTTTAGTAGCGAGCATGATATAGTCGCGGCCAAATCAGAATGGGTGCACGTCATCAACGTTTTTTGCACGTCATCAAAGTTTTTCATAATTACATAAAAAATGTTTAAAAAATAAGGAAATTGTTACAGTTTTTGGTAAACAAAACACATATGAATGATATTCTTTATACGCAAATTTAACGGCACTAAATTTACAGTTTAAAGTTGGTAATGCTAATAAAGTCATTACACTGCATTGATGACGTGCACCCATGCAGATTTGGCCGCGGCTATTTATAATAATATGGTAGCGATTATTATGATTTGTTAACAATTAGATTACCTATAAATTGAGGCACTTTGTAAGGCAGAAATTATTGCAAACAAAGAGTGTAAATTATTAAGGTCGTAGAGTTTTTTGGCTATTCTAATAAAGTGAGTTAAAACTTCCGAGCGTTGCTTAGATGTGCATCCTGAGAGTATTTCTTGTACAGCCCAAAAACTAACCTACAAAGAATTAATTAATTATTGATTAAAGTAGGTACCTTTAATTTTTTTAATTTTATTTATTAAACCCAAAAAAACATAAATGTTTATAACAGGCATAAAATACAACAATATATATAGGCAATCAAGATTATTACTAGTATCACATACAATTTGAGTCTTAAATTAGTAATAGAATTATTATTATTAATATCACATTCATTAAAAAGTCATGTAAATGCAAACGCCAAACAAATCAGTTTAATATTTTTTTCTAAAATATCCCATAACATGTCCGGTTTTATTATAAAATCAAAATTCATCAAAGTCAAAATTACCAAAGTGGTAAATTTGCTTTCTGGTTTAAATATTTGTGTAAAAATGACATGTAACTTTTTTTTGTTGAAAAATGCGTTTTTTGTAGAGTGGTTGATAACTGGTTGATAACACTTTGTAACACAAATGTTCATGTTAATTTTTTTATATCCATGGTAACAGAACGTCATTATCAAGTCGATGTAGCGGAGTCAGAGAGTAAACGTAAAACGTTAAAACCATAACCAACAAATAAGCCCTCATAGTGCAAACAACTATACACTCGATGACAAAATTAACCGGACACTTCATTTTTCTTCCACAAAATTTATAAAACGCACTTTATATTAACTTAACAGCCATGCACATATGCAGACAAATAAAATTAAATGAGTTTTTGGCTTTCAAATATCACGGGGACACTTTTTTAGCAATTTTTTCAAATCGTTTACGTTTCACAGAGCTCTACAATTCAATTTAATTGCTGTTTGCTTCGAGTTTCGAAGGTTGTTTAAAGAATATAATAGTGTTAGAGGTGTAAAATTGTGAATTATTGTAAAAAATTCGTCATGACTCCGGAAGAAGCTGCTCAAGCTGTTGCTCTCCACAATGCAGGACACAGTATCCGATTTATCGCCAATTTGATTAATGTACCGCGAAGTACAGTATCTGATGCGATACAAAGGTTCAGGGAAACTGGTTCCTACTCAAGATTGCCTGAACAAGGAATACCACGATCAACAAACGCAGTTGAAGACCGTTTTGTTCGACTCCAAGTTCTGCGAGATCGGACACTTCCTGCTACAGCTTTGAGTAGGAGATTGGCAGACGTGCATGGGACCTTGGTTTCATCATGTACAGTATTAAGAAGGTTGAGAGAGCAAAATCTCACTCCTCATGCAGCTGCCACTGGCCCTCTTTTGGATGCAGCTCATCGCAGACAGCGCTTGGAATTTGCGCGCAGTCATGTCGAGTGGGGTATGGAAGAGTGGCGATGCGTTCTCTTTACAGATGAGTTCCGTTTCACGAGATATGCTTCAGATCGTCGTCAACTTGTGTTTAGGAGACCTGGGGAGCGATATAACCAGTGTTGCTTTGCTCCAAGAGTACAATTTGGTGGTGGCGGTATAATGGTATGGGCAGGCATATGTTTGGAAGCTCGTACGGCCCTTGTTACGTTTCGGGGAGGCAGCATCAACGCTGACAGGTACATTAGGGAGTGTCTTGAAGAGCATGTGGTACCTTTTGCTCCATTTAAAGGGCCAAATTTCTTGTTAATGCAAGATAATGCTCCACCGCACACTGCCCGGGTAACTCGTCAGTACCTTCAGGATGTTGATATTCAGGTGTTGGGGTGACCACCAAGGAGTCCGGACCTAAACCCAATAGAGTATATGTGGGACAATCTAGGAAGAAGGATTACACGGAACTATGGCGAGTTTCACACTGTGGTTCAACTAGAACAAGCTCTGTTAAATGAATGGGAGCAGATATCCCAGAATGAGGTTGCTGGGTTAATAGAAAGTATGCCACGAAGGATAAGAGCCGTGATTCAAGCTCGAGGAGGAAATACTCACTATTAAAGATTTTTTGAGGCATCTTTTGCAAAAACACTTTTTTCAAATTTTGAATTCTTTTATTTTTAATGTATATTTACAGAAAATTTTTTGTTTTCCTTTTTTAAAAATGTTCATTAATTAAGATTTAATTAAAATTATTAAAAATTAAGATATCTGTTATTATATTTTCCTAGAAAACCTAGTGTCCGGTTAATTTTGTCATCGAGTGTAGTGTAACAAATACAGTGAGTACAGACTACTCTACGGTCAATAATTAGTTAAGGGCCAAGTGAAAAGGAGTGAAGTGACAAGTGCAAACGAACATAGTGAAACGGTCAAAAGAGTTAAGTGTTAAGTGACAAGAAAGAGTTAAGTGACAAGTGTAAGTGTCTGAGCAGTCGCACCATCTGTCAGCAGAACGATTTTTACTGGCCAAACAAAAGAGGCCAAACAAGGGAGGAACAGGCCACCTGCAAATAATTCCTAAGTATCCTCAACTCATCCGCATGACCTAACATAATTTGCAAATTAAACTAAACAAGGCACATTGCCTAATCCCTACAAAAAAACAATAATCATTGGCAACAAAATAAAATAAAAAGTCAATTTTCCAAGAAAAAACCAAACAGCCGATCGCGGACACACACCAAAGTTGAACAGGGCAATAAAGCTGTCAACAAAACAATTCAAATATAACAAACCGAGACCAAATAAATTTGACATTTAAGACATAAATAACACATAAACTAAGAAAACATAAACAAAGTAAAAAAGCACTTTAATCAAACTCCATGGAATTTGTAAACACATTAGACTTTAAATTAAAAGTAAAAAAAATACCCCCCACTGGGAACTGCCTTATCGCAGCGACTGCTCACCAGCTGTTCAACACGGTGATAGGTTCGCTACGCGAAACTGAAACAACAGCAGACACTAGACAAATATTAAACAACCACTTACGTAATAACCTAGGAACGTACAGACCCTACATCGAGGACGCAATAAATGAACTAAGCAGTCGTTATGAACACATAAGTGACAAAACAGGACAAATTAATGCGTACCTAAACGACCACGGTAATTACGGCTTCTGGGCCGGACTGGAAACAATACTAGCCGCCTCAGATGTATTCAGCGTCGCAATCGAAATTTACCATGATCCGACACGGACAATGACAATAATGAACAAGACGAAGACCTCGACTAGGAAACTACACCCCTGCAGCGTAATAACAACTCCCCAACTCCAAATAATAATCCCAAATGTTTGGATTAATACTAATCGACTGGTCTAGGGGGATTCCGCGTCGTACTTAGTTTTAAGTCGGCGTAATTGTCCCCCAAAAACCAACACCCTCCCGTCCCTCCTCCATACCCCACTGAGCGTATAGCATAGGCTCGGCGAACCCGGGAATGGCTATTAAAACTATTCGCCTCTCGCTCTCGAGCCCCAAATAGGGGACAGTACGGAACGCAATGGACATTCGCACCCAGCAAACACGGGTAAAGCCGTGCAGTTGCTGGGGAAGAACAAAAATCGGCGTAAGTAAACATAGGCCTGTACGGGGTTCGAGAGTCAAGAGGAAATGGGGCTGGTTATACGTCTCTTATACTCATACTCATACTCATGGTAACAGAACGTCATTATAAGTATGACATTATGTCATTGACATAATCAGTCTCAGCACAGGTACAAAGATCTCATAAGAAGGTCTAAGAGTCAGCAGCCAAGCTCCAAAAGATTCTCTCAAAGGATCCAGGACGAGAGCTGGGATCATTAAGGCTTCCCTCCGATGACTTCACCGCCACCGCGGAGGAGGCACTTGAACGGCTCCTGGAAACCCACTTTCTGGCTCAGAAATCCTGTAAACTGTCGAACCACCAAGGCAAGCTCCACCAGCTGGCGTAACGCCAACTGACTGGAAGATAGCTGCAACGGTAGTAACAGAAAACTCCATAAAGTGGGCTATCCACTCATTTGGATCTTTTAAAAGCACGGGACCAGATGGCATCATTCCGGCTCTCTTACAAAAGGGGCTAGAACCACTGACCCCGCACTTGATACGCCTCTTCAGAACCTTCCTTGCACGGGGCTACGTGCCACAATCCTGGCGAAAGGTTCGGGTGGTGTTCATCCCCAAGCCAGTACGTTGTAACTACGAGACTGCAAAGGACTATAGACCCATCAGTCTATCCTCGTTTCTCTTAAAAACTATGGAGATACTGGTGGACATATTTATTAGGGATAGGGCACTAAAAAGAATTCCCATGCATCCTAACCAATACGCTTACAGGACAGTCATGTCGACGGAGACCGCTCTTCACAGCCTGGTGACAAGACTGGAGAGAGGAATTCCTTTCAAAAAGATGGCTCTGGGCACGTTTCTAGATATCGAGGGAGCATTCGACAATACCTTCTTCGAGTCGATAAATGAAGCTGAGGAGGGCTTTGGCATAGAGAATACCATTGTCAAATGGAACCGCGTCATGCTTGAAAGCAGAATCATTACAAGCTCGAACTACAGAGGTCAGCTCAACCATAGCCGCAGGGAGGTGTACTATCGCCTTCGCTGTGGTGCCTAGTGCTGGATGGGCTACTCCGCATCCTAAACGAGGAGGGTATATACGAGGCTACGCGAACGACCTCGTCATTGTCGTAGCTGGAAACAAAATGTTACCAAGAGGAAATGCGACGTAAGCAAGTTTCTTGGTGTTTTCAAAAGACCACACAAGAAACTGAGAACTGCGTCATATTTTTTCTTATATTTAAAAAGGGCTGACTACTCAGTTTCCTCTGTAAGAGTGGCAGTCTGCTCTTGTTATTTTTAATCAGTTATTCATTAGCATTCAGCTGAGTATCATCTCTGTATTAAAGTAAATACATCTAATTTTATTAAGTTGTGTTTATTGAACAACGTTCCTGTTGCACCAAAATCCAGTCAACTAAATTCGCATACGGAAAATGTTTTCATGGATTAGTTTTCAGTACATAAAAATTGGTCCTTCGAACCGGATATAAACCAGTGACCTGTGAACTACAAGACACAAAGACATTTTAGTTCCACTAATTATCAACAACACGAGGCGTCTCGATTCCCCGCTGTCAAGCTACAAGGAGCCGACGAACGACTTAGCCTTATTTACAAG